ACACTTCTTAAAGGAGTATGCAGTTTCTTTAAACCCTCCATTTTAAGAATTTATAAATAATCATATATTTATAATCATAAAGTAATACAATATATAAATCCTTCAAGCCCACCCACCTGAGGGTGCCAAATGTTATTTTAGAAGATCAAATGTCAAAAGGTAAACTTATCTTTTTTCTTCTTGTTGGACAGCTGAGAGGATTTTCTTCTGTGAACTCATAAAACTAAAATAGGAGGCTTGCTTTAAACAAACTTAACACTTTATTGGTATTTACAAATATTTACGAAGAATTTAATTGATAGGAGCTTAATTACAAATACACTAAGCAACATTCATTTCTGCTTCCGTTCAGTTCTAATGCTACAGTCTCTTTCTGGTTTATTCCAGATCTCAGTTCACTTCAGTTCGTAAGGGATGAAAACTGCCAAGAGGCTGGCTCAGCAGCGACACTGTATAGCAGTGGTCTTTGAAAAGAAAATTGTAAAGCAATCGCATTAGTTGACTAGTGTTTATTAACTAGAAAATTAACTAATGAAGAAAAATTAATAAACATAACACAATAAATCTGAAGGCTTGCCCATGTAAGGAAAGGGAACAAGTTATCGAAATGGGAACACATTTGATGTTGAAATCTAAATTTAAGCAAGAGAAGCTCCTGAATTTTTCATGCAAAATCCTCAGAAGTTTCTCACGTAGTAATTAACATTTTAATACCATTTGGAACAATGTATTTAAGTGAAAAATCTTTCTCAACATATGTGGCAACAAAAACAAAATCTGGAAACAAATTGAAGACAGAATATGAAGTGTGACTGCAAATAAAATCGGCAAAGCTAGACCCTGGCAGTTCATATAAAAAGATGCAAACACACACTAGTCACTAAGTATTTAATGCAAGGGTAGGTAGAGTAAATTACATTAATTTTATATTAATATATTTTAATAAAGACTATAGTACTTTCCTTTAATTTTCTTTAAAGTACCTATAACATATTGATCTACTTTAAATATTATTTTAAAGTACATTTTTCTAAAGGTACAATGGAGTTCCCTGAAAAGAATCTTACAGTTCTAGGGGTTCTGTGAGTCAACAAAGTTTGAAGACCACAGCAGTATAGTGTAATAATAACCAAGAGGTGGTGCTGCATATCAGTTCAGGTGGCACAAAAAAGTTGTTCTTAAAATAGGTGCACAGAAATCAGTTATATATGTTGAGCTGAATAAACTGTGCTCTCAACCATTACCATGCTATCCACCTATGAGGAAGAATGTTATTTGAATATCTCAAAAAAAAAAAAAAAAAAAAAAAAAAGGAGGGAATTCAATTTATTAGCAAATGAAACTGAGTTCCTCATATAGATATAAAGGTATATATAAGTAGAAAGGATATCTAGACCATGTTGAGAAGTGTTCTCTATAATTTTTCAGTGAAAAAGAATGTTTTATGCAATCAGCAACACATCCTTTAGGCTACCAAGCTAAAGTGAAGACAGCTTCAAAACACTTAAGTACAGCTGCCGAATCAGTTTGGTTGCTCTCAAGCTAATCTTTGAACTCAAATACTACTACTGAAATCAACATACTACTCTGCTACTATTTTATCCGCGTGCAGGCAGGGTATATATCGCTTTGACCTACATTTCCAAGGAAACCCCCTAAGAATGCATTCTAGAATGTTCTCACTTCATCAATGGCATGCCGCCAAGTGGGCGATCTTGTGCCAAATCTGGCAACGTTGCCTTTTGCTGCCACTTTCTGGAAACCCTAACCCCACTTTGTGAGAAAGCTATTTTACTGCAGCTAGGCATTTCACAACACTACCCCCTCCCAAGAATTGCGCATCCTGCTGTACAATCCTTGGTCAGAAGCCAAATTCAGTACAAACAAAAGGTAAAATAAGAAAATAATATAAATGAAGATAAAAGAAACATCTATTTACAAGTTATATACAGAAGTTAAACCTTATAATAATTTTAAATTATATAATGAAAGTTGAGAATGAATTTCAGTTTCAGGATTTTCATCAAGTTATACCCTAGTTAATTTTTTTTTCACTGCAGTTCTCGGATGTATTTCTATTTTGCACATGACATTCTGAAGATTCAGTCCTTTCAGATTTTCATCCACTGGAAAATATGAAACAGTTTGTTCACCACTCTGTAGTTTATTCACCTCATATGTACAGTTCGCTCGGTATTTTTAGCAGGTAGTACATGCTTATTTTCCTCTATTTCCCGAAATCACTTCCAATTTTTGCATTAGAATTCTGAATAGAATCCGATTCTTTACAAACAGAAGTATCTTGCTTCAGAATCAAGTTTGTGTGTATACAATTTGTATTATGATATATTTATATAGTTTGTGAAGTGGGTGTATTTTCTTGCAATTCTTGCATAGCCCGCGTACAGTGATCGGGCCAGAAGTGAATATTAAGTGGAATATTTGATATGCAATTACAGTGTGATACAATAACTGTGGTAAACACAAGTATTACAAAATGTTTACTTATACAAAACTCCAAAATACAAAATTAGTAATCTGTAACGGTATGACTTATTTCAAAGCATTCTGGTACATGGAAAGTACATGTCTTTCATCTCTTCCAGTGTGACTTTTACAGCTGCTAACAAGTCATTCGAAGCCTACACTTTTTACATTCGTGTTCTATGTGGATTTTCTCGTACTTGATCTGCATACTGATTCATTTCGGTTACAATATTGCTCCAAAATATGTCATCAAATATTAGATTAAATATATCACATTCTCCTCTACTTCCTCCTAATTGACATAAGGCTTCCTCTCTTATGCCAGGAGTCATCGTATAGTCCCAGATTTTTGGACTATTTCTTATTTCTTTCCAAAGCCAGGACTCTGGTAGTTGATCGTCATCGGATGTATCATCAATAATTATTCGCCTATACTTTCTCCGAAAATTACATAATTCATCTTGTTTACGATTGCACTGATTAGCGTGTTACACAAGTCATGCAAATGTCCCGAACGCTGCGCGAGCTTGCATACAATTTCGGCCCAACATCTTCGAATCTAAATCGTAGGTTAAGGGGTTAAGCACAGTCCAGTTGCAAAGACGCGTTACAATCATAAAAAAAAGCTAGGACAAACACGCTGAAACAATCAGCAACACAGTCTTCAGGCTATCAGGATCTAATGGTGAAGATAGCTTCACAGCAAAGCACTAAAGTACAGTTCCTGACTCGATTAAGTCGCTGTTAAGCTGATCTCAACTTCAAAACACTATTACTGAACTCAACACAATACTCTGCTATTACTTACTCCACGTACACGTACAGGCAGGTTATATATAGCTTTAACCTATCTTTGAGAACATTCCGGAGGAAACATATTTGTATCTGTTAAAAATATATTTTTTATTATTGCAGAAATTGATACGTTTTCCGTAGATGTTTTTCCCCGAGATACTTATTCAGGATATTTTTTTGGGATTAATTTTACTCAAGTATTTAGATTAAAGTGTTTTATCCTCCTCGGTTCCCTTGTATCGCATGTGATACAAAAGTTTCATAATTTTTTGTGAAGGCTGAGCTGCAAAAACAAATTTGGGACCGGTTGTATCACATGAGATACAAAGTGAAATACCTCATATATTTTCCTCGTTTAGTCAACAGATGGCAGTACTTGTCCATGATAGCGATTTCTAGTAGCATCTCTGAATCAAAACAAAATGTCTGCACGTCGTCGAAGTAAGTATTTTTTTCTTATTTATATATAAATATTAAACTATTTTTAAAATATGCTTTCTCTTTGTATATGTACTTTTTACTAGTTAATAGCAAAAAAAGAAATTTTTACTGAAATATTAAAGCATAATGACTTGTGAAATTTGTTTGTATCACTTGTGATACAATGAAACCCAATCACTTATGAACACACTTTTTAAATCAATTTTGTTTTAATTTTTAGTTATATTTTGGGGGGATTTGAAGATTGATAGAAGTATTTCTTGAATTCAAATCTTTAGTTGAGCTGTTTGCATTCCATTTTTACCCATTTTTTCCTGATAATTTTTTATTTAATAAGTATTTTTTTTTCAGTGAAATATTTGACACCAGATGAAATTTTAGAGCTGATGAATCGCGATGATTCTGATTTGAGTTCACTGTCAGATGAAGATGATTATCAAAGTGATAATGGATGTGAGATGGATGATGTTGATGAAGATCAGGATGCAACTGGATGCTTTGAATATCAAAGTACTGCACCCATTGAATATTTTATGGAATATTTAGATGAATGCTTTTTTGAAGATTTGGCAAATTTCAGTAACATTCGATCCCTAACACGTACTGGCAAGAGTGTTAATGCATCAAAAGAGGAAATGATGACATTCATAGGTTGCAGTCTTCTTTTGTCCCGCTATGGGTATCCCAGGGTAAAAATGATATGGGAAAGGTCCACATGGATACCCATTATAGCTGACAATATTTCTAGGGATAGGTTTTTTTTTTCAAATTCGCAACAATTTGAAAGTTTTAAATGATAATGATGTCGCAAAGGAAATAAAGGAAAAAGATAAATTTTGGAAAGTCAGGCCAATGCTAAATAAAATACGAGAACGTTGCTTGAAGCAAAAAAGACCAAAAATTGTTTCAATTGATGAACAGATTATCCCTTTTCATGGACAGGTTTCTATGCGACAATATATCAGAGGAAAGCCAAACCCAGTAGGAATAAAAGTTTTTGTAATGTGCTCTTCGTACGGTTTGCCTTTAGATTTCATTTTTATGAAGGAAAGGGAACTGATGTTACATCTCCAGAGGATACAAGTTTTCTTGACTTGGGAGGAAAAATCGTTCTGAACCTTTCGGACTAGTTATTTCCCGGCTCCTCGATATATGTGGACCGGTATTTCACTTCAGAATTGCTTCTTGACTTCCTCCTGAATAGAGAATTGCATTTAACTGGCACTCTTATGAAAAATAAAGTTCCGAAATTGACACAACTAAAGTCAGATTCAGAAATGAGACGAGAAGGCCGAGGGTCAATAGATCAAGTTGTGAGAGTGGATCAAAAAATTTCCCTTGTGAAATGGTTCGACAATAAAAGTGTTTTGCTGATGTCCAGTGAGCATGGGAAAACTCCCATCACAAAATGCAAAAGATGGTTGAAAACGGACAAGTCATACCTAGAAGTTGATTGCCCTCACATTGTAAAAAATTACAACGATTATATGGGGGGCGTCGATCATCTGGACCGTACCATTAGTTTCTACAGAATGAAGCACCGAACCAAGAAATGGACAGTACGAGTCGACGATATGATCGACTTTACCATGTCGAGTGTATGGCTCGCGTACAGAAATACTATGACAGAATTAGGCGAACCTAAGAAGAACATTCTGGACTATTTTGCGTTTAGACTCAGTATTGCAAATACACTCATCCACGGCTTACTGAAGAAGCCGTCTCCCACTCCTTCGCTAGCCGAAGATGAAAATGATGAACCTCCTCCAAAACGCAGAGTTACAACTTGCATTCCACATCAAGCAGCTCGTAACAATGAAGCTAGGCACATGCCTGAAATGGTTGGGGATAGAACTCATCGAAGTAGGTGCAGGAATGAGAACTGCTCGGCCTTAACAAATGTACAATGTGCAGACTGCAAGGTTTTTCTATGCTTTACAACTAGTAGAAATTGTTTCAAGGCATTTCACGAATATAAATAATAATTATAATATGTACCTACAACACCAATAAAACTTAATTTTCGTGTTGAATTTATGAATTGTATGTATTGTGTGATTAAAGACTAAGATTAAATTAATTACTTCAATCTTGCTTAATACTTAAGAAAATTCTGATTGTAGTGCCTTGTTCCTGATGTATCACATGTGATACATCCCCCCCTAGCTTTCATAAACTTAAAAAAAAAAAAAAAAAAAAAAAAAAAAAGCACTTTTCTACATCAAAGTAATCGAAACAACTATTTAAATACCTCTTACAAAATATCAAGCTTTTATTTTTGTCTCGGGTCTGAGGAGGATATTGTATTCTGTGAAATCTTAATATAATTTATTTTTGCTCCTTAGTTACTTCCTATAAATTTTCCGATTGCATAGAATACTCAGTTTCATATTGGATATATTATTTTGAGATTTACTGTACTTTTCAGTCCCCTTTAGTTTAAGTCTTCTATATTTGTCCATAAAATACTGTTATATTCTAGTAGCAAAATATAATATACAAAATCCCCCACATTTGAATTTCGATTTTTCGGTTTTATATGAATTTTCATGTCTTAAATGAAAATTTAATTGAATCTTTTTTCAGTTTTTGATCTGAAATGAACCAGGAGAACAACATGTTTTCGAAACATATTAATCGACTTTTATGAATTGGAGTTTCAGTACAAGGAGATTATTTTTTTAAAAATAAATTTGTATATTTTCCCTTTTGCATTTATATTTTTAGAGTTCTGCTATGAATTCTTATTAGTCCAAAGGGGAAATTTGCCCTGAAGAACTATAAATTTCGTTTTGGCATTTTGCATTGAAAACTATAAACAGCGAATCACTTTTCTAATTGTTGCCACCAAATATTATCGCCCTGTATTATATTTAAAGAAATTAAATAATGAAGAATCTGCATGAATGTATGTATGTTTCTTGCATTGTGGTAAAACAACAGTACCCAGAGCCATCAAAATTTGAATAACGTAATCTTCCATAGAATAAGAGCATGTGGAAGCTCTAATTTGTATTGAAATTTGTTTTATTAACACTTGTTGCATTCTATGGGTTCGTGATGAAATTTGTTAACACTTCAGCGAATTTCCATTTAAGAAACTAAACGAAAGATATGCTCATTTTAAAATTATATTGCGATATTGCTGTTGAACTGAATTTTATGGTTTGAGTACGTAGAACATGTTATTTAATAAATAAAGGTAACACACAAAACGTTAAAAAAAAGCCCCTTTGGACGTAATTTAAAATCTGAAACCTTTCAGATTTTTTTTTTTTTATTATTATTATTTTCTTTTATATATCGCTTTAGATTTATTACAGCATTTGAATAGAACATGTGGCAATGATTAGATAATTCTTCAGATGATATAATTTTTTTTGAAGATTATCTTCAGTGTATCAAACTGATATCTGTAAGGCTGTCTTATACACAAAGTCTTTTTTTATTGTTATAATGCCCCTTATAAAGTGCAGGACCGTTTAATATTGGGATTAATACAGTATATTATAACCACTTCCTAAATTAAGATAAAGTTGTAAATTGTAAATGATTTGTTAAAACAATATGAATAATTATCGAAATTAATTCCCAGCGTTCCTGAAAAAAATTAAACAAAGGAATAAAAATTATAAAAAATTAATGAAGAGGAAAAAACATAAGAAAAACAAGCAAAAAAAAAAATAATGATGAGTAAACCGCAAGGAAAACAAAAAGGAATGCATCATTCAACAACTGAATGAAAAAGGAGAACTTTCATTACAACTAATAATTAAGGAAATAAATACTAGGAGAAATGTATAGAGTCATTAGGATTTTTGATGCCGGAGCCTTGAAAAATGTGCAATGCCTTCGCCGGGACTCGGAACTCCTGGAAGATACGTCGAAGGTGCTTCCTGTTACACCACGAAGGCACACGGAAAGGTGGGAGAAAATGCCCTATAAAAGTTAAATTAGGAGAAAAACTGCAATTAATATATTTATATTTTCTTCAAGGGACAGAACTGAATATCAGTGAACAAAATTCAAAGGCTTTTCATATTTGGTATTTGAATAAATAGTGAAAGCAAGATTATTTTAAATAATAAGCAAGACAAAACTCGGAACTTTTTTATTCCAACTTTGTCCAGATCTGAAAGGAGAATTTAAAATTCGATATTGCAGAACCTAAACTCAACTTATAAACCGTACGGCGAATACTGGCAAACGGATAAAACTAAGAAACAATCAAAGAACCAAATAAATTAAATAACCAAATTAAAATACTAGACAGCTCGCCCTTAACTCGTCGTCCGAGAAAGATTCTCTGGCCTTGTCAGCAGGGTCATCTTCACCTTTATTCTAAATAAATTCCAACATAATAGTTAGAATAAAATATGATATAAGTAAATATATTTTGTTTTAACAATTTTGTGAATCAAGATTTTCCATCTTTCTAAATCTTTTATCTTTATTTCAATTTTGATTTGTTTAGATATTGTGTTAAACCTCTTATATACGGTTTCAATTATTAATATTGTTGAGGAATTCCTTGCTCTGATTACAATTTAATATAACTTTAGATGCTTTTAGTTTATTCTACTTCAATCCTGCAGCAATATTGCAGAACGGGTTTAAAAAATTGTTTTTAATTTTTAGCCTATTATTATGTTTCTATTAATATATATATATATATATATATATGTACTAGTAGAAATATATATATATCACTGTGTATTATATATTACTGTATATATATGTCACACACACACACAACTCTTTTAACAATTCCAATGAAAAATATGATTCCATATTTAAAAATTCCATAATAATTCAAGAAAATTGAGCTGGTACTTCTTTAAGTCATAATAAAAATGTAAAAAGTAAAATTTATTTAGTATAAATAATTTTTTTAAATAAAAAGGTTTGAATTTAAAGAATAATATTGTGATTATTGGTATAGTTATTCCTGACGAAAAGATATTTCTGAATTTTTACCGCTCTCAGATCCATTTGAACAATCTTTTCACGTGACATGTGTACTTACAAACAGAATAAAGAATTTTTTTTTTTTCAAAATGGATTAAAAAGAGGTTTTTCCCGTGATGTCTGTGTATACATAGGTATGTATGTATCTCGCATAACTCAAAAACGAGTAGCCTTAGAATATTGAAATTTTGTGTATGAGACTGCTATATCATGTAGCTGTGCGCGTCCCTTTTTTGATGACAATCGGTCCCCAAAACGTATATATATATATCTATCTATCTAACATATAACGTATATATATATATCGAACTAAGTGAATTTTAGACCATTCAACATTATATATATGTAACAATAGCAATTTTAACCAAATAGGTCTCTCGTTTAGTACTTTCTTCTTATATACTTGCAGGGACAGGATTTCCCTTGTTTCTGTCGGGCACTCCGAAAAAGGCGAGATGGGATAGCCTTTCAACATCTGTGGCGAGTTCCTGGAATGTTTCCGTGGGTTTCTGTTGGCGGGATTTTAATTGAAGCCTACTGTAATCTTTCAAACACTTTTCCCCAAAGCGCAGCTCCAAAGCGCCGGATAGAGCTTCTTCTTCTTCTTCTTCTTCTTCTTGAAGCTTGGCTTCCCTTTGGCGCCTTATGCTCCAACTCAAAATAGCATACCATTAGGACGCATTCCCTCCAATTCAGGGGGGAACGTCAGTCCGAAAAGCAAACCCGTACACAAAAAGTGCTTAGGAGTTCTTTAAGATGTATTTGATGACAAATTTGCCTAAAAAATAATACCTCCAAGGTTTCTTATTACAATGATTTAAAAGATCAGCTAAGAGGTCAATATTGCTGATTTTCATTTTCTTGAGCATAATGTTTCTGGCGCTATCGTACTTTGTGCAGTGAATAATTGCATGTTCAGTACTGTCAATCGTATAACATGAGTCACAAAATGGCGAATTCGCTCTACGATACCTGTGCAACAGTTGAGTCGTGTCCAACATTTGCAATCTTGTTTTACTGATTGCAACTTCCATTTTCCTGTCGATGTTTAAACCCTTACTCCACTCACAGTGAACATTACAGTAGCTGAATCTGCGGCCGGTGTAAGAAGTCCGCCAGCTGTCGACTTGCTCTTTCTTAATAGTATTCTCGATAAACCTACACGCATCCTCTGCTGAAATATCCCCCAAGTTATTCATATTTCTTCTTTTCGCAACTTTATCCGCTCTTTCATTGAACCCTATGCCCTTATGGCCAGGAACCCAGATGACTGTGAGGTAATGAAAAGACTTAATCCGCTCGAAGAGCTTAAGAATGAGAGAGTTGGATCTCCTATGAACACAGCTCAACGCGCTGACGACAGAATTGCTATCTGTAAGGATAGCGATCTTATCTCGAGGATTCAGTATCTCAAGAAGCTTACAAATGGCCCAAGCCTCAGCTGAAAAGATGGAGTTTCTATTGTCAATGCGCTGACTGACAATTGCTGAGGTACGATCTACAGCCGCAATGCCAACCCCTGTATCGGACTTGGAAGCGTCTGTAGCATAGATTTTAAACCCTTGATTCACGTAATCATTAATAGTGGAACGGAAAAATTGCTGTATCTCCACATCCGAAAGATTTTTATTCTGGAACTCATACTCATTTGTTTTGAAACAGCACTTAACTTCTTCAGAAAAATCTAGTTCATTGTTAAAGGTAATACAATTATTGAGATCTAGATCGAGATTGCTAAGCTTATCTTTAACGCACTGGCTAATGGGCTTACGTAATTTGCTCCACTTGTACTTGCAGCTTTGCAAGCAATTTTTCAGATTATCCGCAATAGGAGAGGCTGCTGACAGAGTGATATTTTTATTAGGAACTTCATTGCGGTGATGCATCTTCTTGTTTCTAAAGCAAACACCCCTGCTTCAACATATAACAGCGGGAGAGGAGTGCTGATAGGCGCCCCTATAGCAAGTCTTAAAGCGTGATTATAAACTATTTCGAGCTTTTTCTTATTTTGTTGAGAGGTAGACAAAAGGAGACAGCTGCCGTATTCTATTCTTCCTCTTATTGTAGCATTTGCAACATTGACGAGATCCACTTTTCTAGCACCCCACCTGGGGCTCGCGATAAATTTGAAAGCATTCAGCATTCTTTCCAGTTTCGGTACTATTTTATTAACATGGACGTTCCAGCTCAATTTACTGTCAAACCACATGCCCAGAATTTTAATATGATCTTCCGTAGGGATGCTAACACCATCAAGCTTCAAAAGATTCTCTTCACTACTCCTTGTCCCGCCGAAAATAATCGATTTACTTTTCTCTGGAGAAATGCACAAGTTCCACTCTTTAGCCCATCTATGCACTTTAAACAGCGCACGCTGCAAATTACTGACTACCTTGGAGGGTGAGACATCTGCACTGTAGAGGAATATGTCGTCCGCATACACGTAGCAGTCAACATTAGCCGGGATAATTTCATAGATATCGTGCATGAAAATTGTGAAAAAAATGGGAGACAAAATGCAGCCCTGAGGAACACCGCTGATAGTATCATAGCTTCTTGAAAGAACCCCTCTCCACTTTACTCTAATAGTTCTCTGGTTTAAGAAATTGGCAATCCACAGGATACTATTCCCTTTAACTCCGAATTGCATGATTTTATAGAGCAGGCCATCATGCCAAACTGAATCAAATGCAGCTTTGAGATCGAGAGCCACCAGTTGAACAACTTTCCTTTGCTTCCTGTGGTGCAGGATACTACTGAACAATTTGTTAAGCAAGACCAGGCAACTTCTATTTGGAATAAAGCCGTAGTGCATTATAGAGAGTCTTTTACTTTGCTGGATCCTCGGAAGTAATCTATTGAGAATCATCCTTTCCATAACTTTGGCAAGAATTTGCGTTAGAGAAATAGGTCTGTAGCTTGAAACCAGCGCACTGTCACCCCCAGGTTTCAAAAACGGAATAACAATAGCTTCTTTCCAATTCTTAGGGATAAGACCCAAATTCCAAGACTTGTTGTAGGCCTCGAGGAGTGCATACTTGCAATCATCAGCTAAAACTGTAATAGCATATCTTGTAAGGTCATCTTGTCCCGGAGCAGAGTCTTTGAGGCTCCTGATAGCTTTATCGAGCTCAAAACCTGAGAAGGGGTTATTAATACAGCTACTCTATTCGTCACTGAAATCCAGGGGAATGAACTTTTGAATAGTGAATCTTGAATAATATTTAGCAAAAACTACACTTTGCTCTTCAGGTGACCAGGCGTGGCCATTCTGGTACTTTAAGATATTGTTAGAGAACTGGACCTGACTTTTGTTATTCTGAATATTTTTAACTATCCTAAATAAATTGCCGTCCTTTCTGGAATGACTACAAATTTTTTCCCAATGAAGCCTTCTCTTGATATTAATGACCCTCTTAAGGTAAGCATTCCATTTCTTGTAAGAGATCCAGTAGGCTCTTGAAAGATGAGCTTTAGCGAGTCTAAGACATTTTCTTTTCTGGCCAAGAATGAAGTTACATTCTGTGTCCCACCACGGGCTGTTTTTTGCTTTGAATCTCAATTTTTTTGAGGTTCTCCTTTTTCGTGGCGCTCAAGATTCGGTTGAAATTTTCCAGGTTCCTTTCTTCAGGGCGCAAAGCCCTGAATCTGTTACTGCTTTCTGTAGCGAACTTCTTCCAGTCATGGCGAACGATTATTCTCTGGTTGCCAGCAGCTGAGGCGTAGTTATCATTTGCAAAATTAATTTTTATAGGGTAGTGGTCACTGCTAAAGGGATCAGGAGAAACTTCCCATTTCAATTGTCCATAAAGCTCGGCAGAGCACAAAGCGATGTCAATGCACGATTCAATTCCTCCAGGGCTTACATGAGTGGGCTTCCCTGTATTTAGAATGCAAAGGTTGTTGTTGTTACACCACTCCAAAAGCACCCTTACCCCCTGCTGACATCCTGCTTGACCCCCAAGCCGGGTTGTGACAGTTGAAGTCTCCTAAGATAATAAACTTGCCGGGCAACGAAGCCAGAACTTTATCCCACTCTTTCACGCTGAACTGGCCATTGGGAAGGTAGACATTGATCACTGAAATATCGTAACTATTTGCACGGAAATCTACTCTCATAATTTCCCCTCCCGCTAAATCATAACTGCTATCTTGTACAAATAAGCTTGCCCACTGTCTCCTGATGGCAATCATTAGACCCCCGCCTTGGTAGGTGCTTAATCTATCTTTACGAAAAATAACTTTTCCGGGTAAGCAAAAATCGTCTAAATTAGAAAGCCAGGTCTCCTGAATAATTAACACGTCGCAGAAGAATTCTTTCCTGCTAATAATAAAGTTTCTTTTGTTGGAGATACTTCTTGCATTCCATGAACAAAACGTAGGTCCCATCGAACTAGATGAGAAAAGGAAGCAAAAGAGAAGCAGAAAAAAAAAAAAAAAAAAAAAAAAAAAACTTATTTTTTGAGCATAGTCTCGGTTTCTAACCTTGGCCAGACTTTTTTGGTATGCTTATGTCAAGTTTGCTTTGAATGCAGGCTTCCCTTGTTATAGGTTCTAATTTAGAATGGGGCTTCTTGCCCTTACTTCTTGCTACTTCTACTTCCGTATTATGCTTATCCAAATCCAGGTCACTGTCAGACTCAAGAGCTCTTTTCGCAATATGCTTATCTCTAGTGCATTCTGATATCTCGCTCAACTTTGTATCGAGCTTGCTGAACATGCTTTCATATTTTTGATCCAATCCTGCTAAGATTTTTTCGAAGTAGTCAGCCTGCTGTTTTAACGCACTTTCAAAAGATCCTTGCAGCGCAGCTATTATTGGAGTCATGACTTTCAGGAAATCTTCCTTTGCAGGAGTAGACACGTGAGCTCCTGCTACCTTCGCATAGGAAATTTTGCTTGCTACAGCCTGCCTTGCTTCTACTACGGGAACATGATGGTCAGCTATATTTGAGAATATTGCCCTCTTCGATGTATTTGGGACAATTCTTCGAGGATGCTTCATGTGAGTTACTGCACAATGCACACTTGATCTGCTCGCTTTGGCACTGTGCCCTGGTGTGATTTTCGCTACATTTGCTGCATCTGACTAATCCTCTGCAGCTTTTAATCCCGTGACCAAACCTCAGACATTGAGGACATTGCCTTGGATTATCGTAGAACCTTGTGATCCTATGTCTTGTCAACCATATTTTTACATATTCTGGCAAGTGGTGTCCTGCAATCGTAACAAGTACTCTTTCTGAAGGTTTCTTATTACTGTCAGAACTTTTCGCTAAAAATCTTCTTAAATTCAATACTTCAATCTCATTATTATGATTCAACTCGTTAGCTAGCTCAGAGAGCTCAACTTCTACTGGAATGGATGATAGAAGAAATTTGCTTGTCAATTCAGACACGGCAAGCATCGAGGAGACCTTAACATTATGCAATTCAAATATGTTTAAAACTTGCCATGCACATTCAGCCACCGAGGTATTTATTAGAAGCCTTCCATCTCTTATAATTTTAATGAAGTCAATATTTTTGAACTAAAGCCACTTTGCTAGATATCTCATCTTTCAAAATTTTAGGATTGTTTACGTTAATATTCTTCTCTATACCTTTAAGAAAAACAGTGTAATTTCCTTATTCCTTTTTCATGACAAATTTTTAATAAACGCTCTGACGATATGGGCGGTTTGTACTGACAGTCCAGGTCAGAGCTCCATTCCATCCTGCTTCATCACACTTGTGTCAGAGCGCAAAAGGAAAATGAAAAGGAAAATTCTCCTACCTGAAACTTCACTGAAAAAACAAAACCAGGGGAACAAGACACTCTGTTACTAGCTTTATTTAAAGCACAAATTAAACACCGCAATACGGGAAGAAAACCCGCACTTTAACACGTTGCACTTCGCCGAAGTAAACAAACGCGAGTCGAAGAATTAACCACACAGCTTCGCGTTCTTTTAGCGAAAAAAAAAAAAAACGATAGAGCTTCAAAGTCTAGTCTCTGGTTTTCGGGAAGCGTCTGCAGGATATCCGCTGCGTCTGACAGGCTTTAGTTTGGGAATGCCATCCATTCGCATCCGCAACTATAGAAAATTGTGTCTTATACATTTGCCAGGATGTCTTCCCATCATATGTGGATAACTTCAGTGAGGGACAAGCAGGCATGGGTTAAATTTTAAGACCATCCGAATTGCTCCCTGCCGTCCCTACGAATTTCTTTAAAGTATCCACTTCTTTGGCAACTGCAGAAACTTTCTCATCAATTTGTTGTTCGATTTGTTGTTGAACGGAACAAACTCTTCCTTCTATTTCTTCTTTGACAGAATCAACTCTGTAACCTACACTGGTTATCATAAATTAAGGAAAAATCACAAAAATAGCGACAACTCCCTCAGAAATAAGCCAAACCGTATAAAATTTTAATATGATGCTAAGTAAGAGTAGCTGAGTAAAACTGCGATATGCAAATTAGTGGTGCTGCTTTCGGAATACGTCATCTGCGAAAAGCATAAAGTCCATGTTTGAGAGCAAGCCCACATATTTCACTGTGACAGTGACATCAGAAATTTGAGATAGCCAATTCGTAACAATGACCTCCAGGCATCATTTGCCTGCAGAACTGCGATGGAGAGCCATTGGGAAACTAGAGGCAGGACAAAGTCAAACAGAAGTGGCCAGATGGCTAAATGTGAGTCCTTCTGTGGTTCATAGACTTTGGAGGCAATTTCAAACCACAGATTCGGCATCTAGAAGGTTCAGCCAAGGACGGCCAACTGCTACGACGAGCGCCGATGACCGATATTTGACATTATGTGCACGCAGGAATAGAACTGCTACTCCTACTCTTCTTAGGTCCTCCCTTGCTACAGCTACCGAAAGGTTCGTGTCAACGTCAACTGTGCGTAGAAGGCTTCACGAAGGTGGTCTGTATGCGAGGCGACCAGCCATTTGTGTGCCGCTCACGTCACGCCATAGGAGGGACCGTTTTCAGTGGGCACGACAACATGTCCACTGGACGCCTGATCAATGGAGTGCGGTCTCTTTACGGATGAGTCCAGGTTTAGTCTAGAAAGCGATAATAAGCGTTATTTGATTTGGAGAGAACCTAAAACCCGTTATCAATTCGTCAAACATCCGTGAAAGAGATGCATACGGAAGGGGTAGTGTCTGTGTTTGGGATGGCATCTCTTTGGGTGGACGCACAGACCTCCATGTCTTTCCAAGGGGAACCGTGAATGCTCAGATTTATAGAGATGACATCCTTTATGTTTATATGCGGCCATATGCCGGGACAATATGTGATGCTTTCCTGTTAGACGACAACGCAAGACCACACAGGGCTCGCATCGTAGATGATTATCTTCAGCAGCAAACAATTATGCGCATGGAGTGGCCAGCTCGATCCCCGGGCTTGAATCCTATCAAGCGCGTTTGGGATGCTTTAGGAAGACGTCTAGCTGCTCTCAGTCCGCCCCCTCAAACCCTTGTCGCGCTTGCAAGAGCAATGGCTCTCGCTTCCTATGGAGCTGATAGACCGCATAATTGAAAGCATCACACATCGCTGTATGTGCTGTATTGCTTCTAGAGGCGATCATATTCCATATTGAAGGTACTTTTCCTATAGCAAACTGACACCTTCGATTGGTTAAAAAAAAAAAAAAAAAAAAAAAAAAAAAGAAAAAAAAAAAAAAAAAAAAAAAAAAAAAAAAAAAAAAAAAAAAAAAAAAAAAAAAAAAAAAAAAAAAAAAAAGGAAAAAAAAAAAAAAAAAAAAAAAAAAAAAAAAAAAAGCATTTTATACATGGGCTAATTTCTATACTACCATATTTGTCTGGTAATTTCTTTTTATGTTATTTGATACCTTACTATGTGTTGTATATTGTGGGTAAGTTTCATTAAATTCTACATGTAACTTTTTCAGTAATGGTGATTTTTGTGATTTTTCCTTAATTTATGATAACCAGTGTATTTGTTGTTCCACGGCCGAAACTCTGTCTTCTATTTGCTTTTTCACAGAAGAAACGTTTTCTTCAATTTGTCCAAATTTAATTTCAACCGTGTATATTCTGCGTTCGATAGCCTCAAATTTATCTTCTATTATGCAAGTAATTTCATTGCTTCTTTAACAGAGCCTTTCGTTTCTTCTTTAGATGCAGCAAAGGCTGCCATGAATTGCCTTAACTGTTCTTCCATCGCTCTTGTGATTGGCATTCAATATCCCACTTCTGACACCAATGGTCCCAAAAACGTAAAAACTGTTGTACGGGTTCGTTATGAACTGAATGCACAAGTCCGATGAAAAATGAATAAGATTTATTATTATCACAAATAAATAAAACAAAATACGTAAATTTTCTCAGATATTCGTACAGTATTACAATATCTCACAGTAGTTATTTTTTTTAACTACTCAAACGTTCAACAGAACTTACTTCAAAACAGCTCAAGAAAGCTAATCTGCGAATTCGCCAGTCAACAAGACCAGTTTTCTAAACAATCTCTTAAAACAACAACAAACTAACTAAATAACAACTAACTACACTGAGAGGTTTTCCTCCTTTTATAAGATTTTAAATCGCGTGCGAGAATTTTCTGGAACTTTCTCGAAATCAAAAAGAGATATTTATTTATTAAATGTTAAATGCACGTACTCTTATTTTTAATTTTCCGGCTTAGTTTGCTTTAATATTCGTCACGTGCTACACTACATGGGGAATAAAACAATTTAATTTATAATTCAACTAACATTAGCAATTTAAATATCAAATCCGTAACACTATATTAGTACACCCACTCTGTTATCTCTCTGGTGTATATATATATGCACCCACTCTGTTATCCGACTCAGTGAGCTCAGTTTTTTTAATGCTTATATGGTGGTAGGTAACGTGTGCGTTTTTTTTCTTCAAAAGTGATTGAATTATGTTATTCTTATGTTCTGCTTAAGGTTTTTGTCTGTAGTTAGTCTGCATGGAATAGTTGCAGACTTATCAACAATTAAAAAATTTAATTGGTACTAAACCTAACGAGGCCGTCTTTTGCTTACATTTGAAATTCTTAGTAGAACAGTGAATTAAGTCAGTTTGTTTACCAACTTCAGTGTCTTTTCGCCAAATAGGACAAAAAGTAAATTTTCACTTTTGTGCACCAAAAAACCTATCTTTCTGCCCGCCGTGCCGAATTGATTGTTTTTGCGTAGGAA